CCCCCCCCCCCCCATTATAGCCGTATCTTTTTTCCCCTGGAAACAATCTCCGAAGAACAGGAATGGTGCCAGAGTGAAGAAGGGGCGCACCAACCAGCGCTTGTCAACCTGTGGAAGGCTGGGGGGTGTGGGGAACCCGAGGGACATCTAGTCAAGCCCCGAGTGGGAAGCCCAGGAGCAGCTGGCGGCTTCTTCCTAAGCTTCCCCCAATGCCCCCCCTGAGGAGGCTGGGTCTTTCAACGGTTCCCCCACCCCGACCGGAGCAATAGAAGGAGACCAGAGAGAAGCCCTGCAAGGCCAACTCCCTTATTCTCTTCTGTTCTGCCGCCTGGGTTTTGGGGGGAGCAGTTGAAAGGCCCAGCATGCTCAGGAGAAGGCAAAGGGGACGGCCAGGAACAACGGGTGGCCACTAGTCCAGGAGAGAAGCAATTCAGGAGAATTCAGGAGAAATTCCCCAACCGTGAGAGCAACCAGTTAGTGGAACGGCTTCCCTGCAGGGCTGGTGGGTGCTTGGACACTGGAGATTTTCAAGAAGAGACTGGGAGGGTAGAGGTTTGCTTGAGCTGGGGGGAGGGGGTCCCAGGTCCATTTCCAGCTCTAGTCTGATGGGTTGGTTCTCGCTTCTCTTCCTACCAGGGCTGGAAGCTGGACCCAAAGCCCGGCCTGGAGGTGGGCAGGCAAGGGGCCTCCGTGCTGGGTGACCTCCGCCGCTGGCCAAGGTCCGCTTCTCCCCTCCTCGGCCTGCCTGGGGTTTCATCAGCCTTCCTCGAACCGGCCTTGGAGTTTCAAATTCTTGCAAAGAGCCGAGAGCAGCGGACACCATGCACACCAGACACACCTCCCGTGGCTGTGGCTCCGGCTCCTCCCCCTCCTGCAAAACGAAAGGGCTTCCTCCAGCAATGACCTCACCTGGGGATCCCTCCCTGTAAGGCTCACTTTCATTTTCTCTTGATTGCTTTCCAAACGTCACCTGCAAGCACCGGCTTGTTTTCAGGACAGAACCGAAAACTGAAAACCATGGGTGATATAAAAAGAGGACGCATGGAAGGCCCAGGACATTGTCAGGTTTTCTTAGCTGGGATTTTGGCCCGCACACCCCGCCGACAAGAGAAACATGGACTCGAGGACCAAAATCTTCTCCCTTCACCGCTGGAACTGCAGCCCAACCTTAGGGACAGGTGAGTCTGCAGCTGCTTTCCGGAGGTCACCTTTGCAGGCAGGAGGGTGGGTGCTAATCCTTGGGGGTCTGGGAAAGATTGAGGTGGACCTAAGGAAGATGTGGACTTCAGATCTCTGGGTTGTGCAGGGATCCAAGGAGGTGGTCCGCAAGGTTTGGTGGGTTCCAGAGCCTGCTCCGTCCTCGGCTCGGACATCCGTGCCTGGAACTCGCTCAGCAAGGCAGGAGACACACCTAACCGGACGTGAGGGTCGCTCTTGCCGTTGGCCGAAGGGCCCCCAGAAATGGCTGTAAATTATTATCTTTCTGTCTGCAGCAGAGAGAGGGACCTAAGAAGTTGGGAGGGGCCGGTGCTCAGGAAGAAGAGTAGAGAATTCCTTAAATCGGAATATTTATCCACTCTTCACAAGAACTGCCTTTCGCTTGGACAAAACATCCTTTCCCCAGCTGGCGTCTCCCAGATGTGTCCAACTACAACTCCCATAATCTGCTCCAGGAGATATTGGAGACTATGGGAGTGGAGGTTTGGCACCGCGAAAGGGCATCGCTAGGCAAGGCCACCCTGCAGGGGTGTTGGGGGGACGTGGCTCTAGAAGTGAAGACAAGGGCCATAATTTTGTAGTTGAATCTAGACCTCAAAGGAGCCCAAAATTTCTGCTGCTAAGCGAGATATTGGTTAAGTGAGTTTTGCCCTGTTTTATGGCCTTTTTGGCCATAGTTGTGAAGTGAATCACTGCAGGTGTCGGCTTAGTAACAGGTTGTGAGGTGAATCCAGTGTCCCCATGGACTTTGCTTGTCAGGCGGTCGCAAAGAAGGACCCTGCGACCATCATAAATATGACATCCAGTTGCCAAGCGTCCCAATTTTGATCACCTGACCCTGGGAGAGGCAACGGTCATAAACGTGAAAAATGGTTATAAGTCTCTTTTTTCAGCACTTGACAACTCTGAGCGCTCACTAAGTGAGCTGTTGCAAGTTGAAGGTTCAGGCCCAGAATTGTCACTTGTCATCTTGACTTTGGGGTTAAAACCCTCTGGACACTCCAGCGACTGGGTGGAGCACAAGGAACCCACCGCCTCTCCCCCCTTCCTTCGCAGTACAAAATTAACATTAGGCGGACCATCCCGTAGAGGAAGACTTAAAGAGGCCAAGGAGAGACGTTCCACTCCTGCTAGGCCCTCAGGGACCCTCTTCCCTGCTGCCCCCACCCCAATCCCGTGGGGCCTGGCGTCCTAACTGTCCAATTTCTCAACCTCCCAACGCAAACGTACCCACAGAGAAGTAACTGAAGCCCTGAGCAGTGACAAACGGCTCGGCCGAGGGAGCGAGGACTGGGGAGGCCAAGCAATGACCTTTAGCTCTGGGCCAAGGAGTCCTCCGGGCATCCTCAGCCTGGCGGTTTCCTTGCCAACGTTTCCTTACCCAACTGGGTAACTTCACCAGTGAGAGTAGTGGGAGGTTTGCTACCTGTTTCTATACAGCCGTTCACCGTCCCAGAGTTGGCGGAGGTGTGGTTTTCTTCTTGGTAGTGCTTTGACGGAAGTATTGTTTTCAGCTAGATGGGTTTGTCTGGTGTTAAACTTCTGCTGGTCTGGGTTATTGTTTTCCCGTTGATTGTTCCTCTGGTATTAATCCCTGCTTATCTAGGTTTTAATTGCTAAAGTACCAGAAAGTTCCTCCTCCCGTTCACTGAAAAAGGGTTACCAACATCCACCAGACCTTCTAAAACAAGAGTGGCCAACGATGGCCCCTTTGTGACCTGCGGACTTCAATTCCCAGAATTCCTGAGCCTGGCTCAGGAATTCTGGGAGTTGAAGTCCACCCGTCGTAAAGGGGCCAATGTTGCCCAGGCAGAGAAGGGTCCCAGGCACCCCGTCACTTACAACCTGTTGCGCCACCTGGTGCCCTTCCAGGTGTGATGGTCATCCAGCCCAGGAGAAGATAGGGGACCCTTCGGGGGGGGCTCCCAATCCAGCAGCCAATGGCCAGGGATAATGGGTCTGTGGTCTGGTCCAAGGGAGGGATGCAAGGTTTATTGCGCGGGGGGTGGCATGAGCTATAGGTCAGGTAGGACCTCCCAATGGGACTTTTAAATCTTGGGGGGGTCCTACCCGACCTATAACTCATGCACCCACCCTCACAATCCCCGCAAACCTTGCGTCCCTCCCTCGTCCCTCACCTCAGAGCCCTGACTTGCATGCTGGCCGTCCTCCCTGACCCACAGCAGCTCCTGTGCCCTCCCTCACCTGCGCCAGGCCTCTCATGCACCCCCAGGCCCTCCCTGGCCCTCAGCGCACCTCCCGCCCACCCTCCCTCCCCTCCCCCACCCAGTAGCAGCCACTCACCCGCTTGGTGGCCTTGGACTTGTGGGAATCTGGCAGGGAGCATTGGAAAATCGATCCCGGCTGACCACGGTGCTTCCTCGGCCACAATTCTGCCAAATTCCCATTCCCCTGGAGTCGCGGGTCCCAGAGTTTGGATGCGCTCCGTAAGTTAGCCCGTTCAAGATGATCCTGGTTCAAAACCTGATGCCCCAGGATGGTCTTTGTTGCCCGGGGGAAGGCCAGACAGACAGACAGAAAGACAGACAGACAGACAGACAGAGGGGTCTTTGGGGGTGTTGCGTCTTGCCAGGGAGAAGCTGCCCTCCTCTAACCGCCTCCTTTGCTGCAGGGGCCAGGAAGTGGCTGCTGGGGCCTCTTGCCCTCGTGGTGCTGCTGCAAGTCGCCCGGGTGCAGAGCCGGCCCACCGGATCCTGCCCTTTCCCCCAAATACCGGAGCATTCAAGCGCCTTTAGGCAACTCAGGAACCAATACGTAAGTCCGGGGCCGGCTTCGGCTGGGGAGGATGGGCTTTCATCACTGGGGGAGGGAAGGGTCTGGGTTGGGACCGCCCTCTGGAAGCTCCTGGGGTGGGGGAAGCCCCTGGACAGAGGCCCCTTGGAGCTCAGGAAGGGATGGATCCTGAGGGACAGACAGTCGGGGAGGCCCTCCCAGCCCTGGCCGTTGAAAGTCAAGTCTCGGAAGGTGGTTTGTTTTTATTTATTTTTAAAAATGTATTGGCCGCCCATCTTACCACAGAGTAACTCTGGGCATCTTATAAAATATAACTTTGGATTAGGACGAGAGAGAGAGTGAGAGAAGGAGGGAGAGAGAGAGGGAGGGAGGGAGAGGTTAGAAAGGTCTTGCAAAGGCAGCCGTTGTGACCGGTCCATCGCGCCCTCTGTCCCCTGTCCCGGCCTCGGGAGCGTCCTGGAGCCCCGGCAGCAGCCATACCAGCCAGGCTGCCCCACCAGATGGGCCAGTTGAGCCGGGGCCAGGAGAGAAGGCCTGGCAACCCACCCAGAGCCCCCAGGGCAGCCCTGCAGCCTCTCCTCTCTCTTCCCGGTATTTCAAGGCGGCTTCCCTCTTCCTTCCCAATTCCAGGAGGACGAGAGGTTCAAAGGGAGCGAACCCTGGAAAAACTGCACCCGCTTCCACCTCCGCTTCCCCCAAGGGAAGATGCACCACTTGAGGAACGTAAGTGACCGACCTCGGGAAGGGGAGATCCTGCCCAGCTGGAATCCGTCCCCTCCCTGCTTTGTGCCCTCCAAAAACTCCGCTTGGAATAGTCCAAAAGAACCAAGTACCCTCTTTTTTGGTAGAAATGGGACAGGATGGAGGCCGTGGAGGCTGAACTGGCCCTGGTGGTGCCCGTTTTGCAGAACATCAGTGAACCTGCCTTCTCCAAACAGGCGTCCAAGGTTTTGGAGTTTCTACATCCGCTCTGGGAGGCTCTGGGCACCTGTGTAAGTCCTGCCCTGTGCGGGGGGGGCTCTTCCCCCCCCCCCCCCCCCGGCCACCTCTGGGGTCCAGAGGGAAAGGCAGCCCTGGCTCAGCCCCTTCCTCTCTTTTCTCTTTTTCAGATCAGGCACAAACCCCCCCACGGGAAGAAGTCCAGCCTCCTCCAGCAGTTCAAGGAAGAGACCCAGCAGTTCAAGGCCAGGAGCGTCCAGGTGAGCAACGCAGGTGCCCAACTCCGTCTGAACATCCTCGCTCAGGCGGGCAGGCAAGGAGCTCCGGAACTGAGCTTAGTGCCCAGATAAGGCAGACCCCCTTATGTAGACCCCGGTCTCTGCGGGCTAATGAACAAGGGCTCCCGACAGTCCCCCTGCTCCCGTTTCCTGGGCTTGGGGCGAAAGTGTTTGTCCAGGCATTTGGACGGTTTAGTGTTTCAGTAGTCCAGGCTACCTGCCTAGGTATGTGGGTTTAATTGCTTTTATTGTTCGATGGGTTTTTAAAGGCTCCTGGAGTCTAATCCAATGTTTTCCAAACTTGGCACCTTTTAAGAGTTGTGGACTTCGATGTCCACAATTCATGCTGGCTGGGGAATTCTGGGAGTGGAGTTCCACACCCATCTTAAAGGGAAAACCGGGGGTCTCGTGGAGGGCTCTCTCTAAACTTGGCCACTTTAAGACTCGGGGGCTTCAACTCCCAGAATTCCCCAGCCAGCTTTATTTGTGGGAGCTGAAGCCCACCCACCCGTCCTGGCTGGAGAATTCAGGGCATCGAAGTCCAAAAGTCTTCAAAGCTGCCAAGTTTGGAGAGCCCCAGTCTAATGGGACAGGCCCCTCTAACAAAGGGGTCCAAGCCCCTTCAGTCTTGAGGTGGGTTGGGCTCCTTGATGGATCTGCTACCTGTGGCACCTCCCCACCTGAAGTCGGGGGGAGCCACAGGGCAGAGAATTCATCCACCTCTGCTCGTTTCCTTCTGTCCAGCCATCGCCAAAGTGCCTGGAGGCAGCGGTTGGCCTCAACATCGTGCGTCTCCTGGAAGAGGACATTGGGCAGCTCCGGCACCTCTTCCGCCACCACTCCCGGGCCACCACCCGCCGAGGCTAGATCCTGCGGAGGCCCCTGTGCCCGGCCAAGGCTGCCAAGACCAGGAAAGCAGCCGGAAACCACCCCGACTCCGACTCCTCCACAAATGACATCCCTCTACTACCAAATGTCCTTCAGAGGAACCGGGGTCAAGGCAGCTGCGGACTGTCCTGTATGCCACACACTCACCTCTACACGGTGACCTGCAGACGCCTTGGGGATGATGGACACTGTTGCCCCACGTGCCTGAAGGCCACCAGGCTGGAGGAAGTCTTGACGCTGGAACGATCCGAGTGGAGCTCTGGATTCCCAAGCAGGCTTTTTTCACGGGTTATTTGTCTTATTTATGTCCCCCTCCTTCCCCCAAAGAGCCACGTCTGGCTAAAGGGTGCCTTTTTGCAAGCATGCCAGGCTCCCCTGCTCCTGCCAGAGGTTCCTGGTGAACCTTTCCTGCATCCTGTGGTGCCATGTTGGCCCTTCTCCCCTGCCAGGAGAGGCGGTCCCTCGAGGGCCTGGTGAAAAACGGCGTGTTTGCAAAACTCCGATAGCCCAGCGTGGTAAAAGGGCTGCTATATTTATGTAATTTATTTTAATCTTCCTGGATCTGAAATTAACAAGTTTGGGGGGAGGGAGAGACCCATTATTTAAAGTGAGTTGTATTCCTAAAATAAGAATGTTATTTATTCATGCCTCGCCTTCTGCCCAGAACAGTTGTAATTTCAAAATAATTCTAAAAGGGAGCTATAAGTGAGCTCACCTCCTCCCAAGCAAGGCTGAAGCGCCAGCTGTGGGGAGGGGATTATTCTGGAGGAATCAGCAGCCCGGTTGGATCCGCACTCTGCACCCGAGAGATCCGAAGGGGCTGCTCTGAGGATCGGGAGGGCAGCTCCCTTCAGAGAGAACGGCTCTCCAGGAGCAGAAGGCCAAGAGGCGGCGGCAGCAGCAGCAGCCTTGACAGGGAGACGACTTTCTGCCCTGGCACCAAAGGGACTTAAAACGTTGTTAATGCTGTAGCCGTAATTCGGTTTCACAAGCTGCCATTTCCTTACAAAGGATGAGGTGACAAGAATTCGGCTGACGGACCAAAGAACAGAACTGTATGTTGCTCTTGAAATGATAATGTATCTGTTATTTGTTATTTTTATAGACAATCCAATGCTATTTATTAAATTTTATACCATGCCAACAGAATCAGCACCTGCCTTGTTTTTTTATAATGTACTAAACACCCAGGAGGGAAGGAGGGAGGAAAATAGGGAGATGGATGGACGGGAGGGCCCTCAGCTCTTGTCTTGGGGACACGGTTGGGAGCCAGGAGGCGTCTCAGGAGAAGCCCAACAAAGCAGCCGGATCAACTCGATCCGCTTGGCCCCCTCCAGACAGGACGACAAAATCTGGTTTTCTTCACGTGCCTCAACCAAGCTGCATTTGCAAACTATGCCAAAGCAGAGAGCAACGTTTTGTTCCCGTGACCTGCTAAGCCAAAACCAAACCCTCTTTGGCCTGGTTCTGGGGCGCAAACCAGATGTGGAACTTACCCGGTTAAGCTGGCCCCTGCAAGCCCCTCCCTCCCCCCCAGCCTAGGATCTTGCCCTCCAAGAACATCTTCTTCTCCTGAACAGCCTCCCTTGTGCCGCTCTCCTTGACTGGGTTAGTACTACAGCTCCCATCAGCCCCACTAAGCAATGGGAAGCCGCTGGCTGGGGAATTCTGGGAGTTGAAGTCCACTAGTCTTAAGGAGGCCGTGGTTGGAGGGCCCTGCTCCTGATGGCTTGGCTGGCAGGCAGCGTCATGCCAAGCTGAAGCCCACCGGGGCACCTTGCCTACCAGACCCGGAGCAGCTGCCTGCCACTGGCAAGGGGGCTCCCTGGGAGTGTTACAGGTTCAATTGCAGAGCCACCATCTTGACTTTTTTGACCACCCTTTGGATCCCTCTCCTCCCTCCCTCCCTTCCTCCTGCACCCCGACGGCTCGCTTTCAACCCACCCGTGGCATCTGTGGGTGGTTCTCTGCTCTCCCTCTCTAGGAATCTCTTGGCAAAGGGCCACCTTTCCGCCAACAAGCCATGAGATTCTGGATCTGGCATCGTCACCCAACGGTTTCGTTCCTGTCCAACAGCTGCAAATTCTGCCGGCAAGGAAAGGCTGCGGAGAATTGTTTTAACTTAATGCCAGCATTAATCACCCAGGAGCTCAGGATGCGTTGACGGGATTAGTAATTTCTCCCCCCCCGCCCCCCCAGACACACATATGTAATTCGATTAAACACCTTCACTTTTTTGGGTTTAAATAAATTAAGTCTTCCCATCTGCTGTCAAAATGCTCAGGGTTAGGCTAATGGGGGGAGTGGAAGCGGGGGGGCTTCTGAGCCCCACTTGGGAGTCAGGGACGCAGCTCCTTGCTGCAGGGGAAGCAGCGAAGGAAACGGCCTCAGATCCTCCCAGAGAGAAATGCCAAATGCAGGCGGTCCTCAACTCACGAGACCATAATGGAGCCCCCAACCCAACTTGCTCAGTGAGAAATTGTCAAGTGCCTCACTCACTTGTCTTACTTTACGACTTTTCTTGCCACGGTTGTTGAGTGAATCCGTGGTCCCTACTGAGTTTGCCAGGAGGTCGCAGAAGCAGATCACCCACTGCAACCGTCGTAACTATGAACCAGCGGCCAAGACGAACAGTTGCAGGTCAAGGCCCACCTGTACTCCATAGACAGAGGGGGTGGGGGTGGTTTTTTCCTGCCATTCCATGATCTGCTCTAGCACGTTCTTTTGGAAAACTCGCTTCCCATGTGGGAGACGGTCTTTTAAAAACAGCCCTTCCTTTTTTTCAGGTCGGGTAAAAATCCCTGGACTGCAATCGATTTTTGGCCAGGGATAGCAGGACTCGTCCCATATGGGAAGAAGAGACGTCTTCGACTCAGGTTAAAGTAGAACAATAGACCACCCCAATGGGCCTCAACCAGATGGGTGGAGCTCAGCTCCCAGAATCCCCCAGCCTGCATGCTAATTAGCCTGAAGAGGGGCTGAGTTGAAGCCCACCCCCCTTAACAGTTGCCAAGACTGAGAAAGGCCAGGTCGTCCTCTCAGCTCCAGAGGGCATCGCCTGCTCTTTTCCTGAGGCTCTACATTTTGGTTTCAACACACAAAAGTCAGCCTTTCTCTCTTGCTTGCTGCTCCCAAACCCTTCCGACTTTAAAGCCGGGTGAGAAACGTTTGTAATGTTTGTACCCAACAGCAGCCAAGCGGTTCACAGACTGCAGATCCAACATCCCTTCCCTTCCCGCTGCTTTGCTCGCTTCGGTGCTCTTCGTGATGGCTCAAAGCTAGAACAAGTAGTAAAACATCCAGCCACGACTGAAGCAGAACAAAGCAGCGGAAAAGGCTGGGCACAATGCTGTGTGTAGCGAGAGAGCCCTCGGGAGAGGGAGGAACATCCTGCAAAATCACCCAGGTTATCCCAAACAAAGCACCGAAAAAAAGAAGCCATTAAAGCTTTTCCCAGCACTCCTGCCGGTTGCTTCCATTCATTGCAGTCCCAACAAAGCTGTTTCGTGGCAATAAAGGTAATTTGTGACTCTACCTTACCGAGCAGGAGCTTCCAAGGGAGTAAACAAAGCTTGTCAGACACAAACAAAACATCTATTAGCTTCCCCCTCCTTGCAAAGCAGGCCCACCGTCTAGAACCTTCTATGCCTCCTCGCAACCCAAGGGGGGCAGGGATGAAACCACCTCTGTGACGCCAACCATGACCACAGGGGGGCCCATCTTCCCCACCCAATGCCCCTCTCCACTACTGTGCCCACAAATGGGCCACAAATATTCGGGATAAAATAAAAACATTTCTACCAATAGAAAAAAAATATTTGCAGCTCCTTGGTGAACTGTGGGGCCCTTGGTACGCTCTGAGTTCGATCGCTTTCTTTTGCTTTCTTGCAGACGTTTCCTGAATCAAGTAGTCAGCATCACCAGTGGGGGGGGGGGGGGGGGGGTCCTTGGTGATCTCCTGTGGTGGTTTTCTTGCAGACGTTTCATTACCAAAGTAGGTAACATCAATGCTAGAGGGGAGGGGGGGTTAACCTACCACCAACTCCAGAGAGCACTGGGGACCCTACAGTCCTCCCCCATCTCAACCCCCTTCCCTTCTAGCACTGATAATGTTACCTAGTCGGATAATGAAACGGTTCCAAGAAGCGCAGAGGGCACCCAGGACCTCACAGCCCCTGCGCTTTTCCCCGCTCTTCAAGGCCACTGGGGTGGCTAAAGGCAGCGGAGTAACTCTGGGAGCTGAAAAAGCCATGAAGCATTTCCCACGCGCAAGGACGAAACCCGGGCTAAAAGGAGGTACCAACGGCCGGCATTCCAGCGGAGGGATTCCTCCCGCTTATAAGTAGTCGCCGGGGTTCCAAACGCTCGTGAGAGCGCGCCGCACAGCCGTAAATAACAGAGAAGTAGCAGAGCTACGCAACTTTACCCACAGGCCTCAAGCACCGCTTTTTCCTACTTTTAGCAACCGAGAAAGTTCAGTCTCCGTAGAGACCGTCAAAAATTGCCATTGCCGACTATATTTCAAGTCGTCAAGGCGGGGTATTGGGAAAAGTTTTCAATTAGCAATAATCGCGCCTCGGATAAACCTCATTGGCTACGATACTGCCACTGCGCAAAGCTAAAGAGGAATTCTGCCGGCACAGCCGCCCTCCTGCTGGAACCTTTCTCAGGTGAGAGTGAGCCTGCCCAGACAACCGCTTGAGGAACCAAGAGAAGCACCTCGACGGTATTTTAGATGCACGTCTTCTTCTGAGACGATTTTGGGAGGAATTGCCCGCTTGTCTCCTATATTTTATCCCAAATCGGTGGCCGCAAAGGATTCTGGTCTCCGCATGCATATTAGGAAAGGTGCGGCGGGAGGCTGGGATGAAAACATGATGCAAAAAAGAAGGCGGAGCAAACGCCGTTAAAAGTTCGGCGAAAGCGACCGCAAACCAATCGCGATAAAGAGAGGCGGGGCGAAGTGGGAGCCAAGGCCC